ATGCTACATGTAACACTACTCCAGCATCTGCAATTATCCCCGGTTTTTAATCGGGTTAGTTTTATATGTTGTGTTTTGTATACTGTTGTAAGTCATTTGGTCATTTTTTGCCATGGCGTTGTCAGTTTGTCATCGACTTATGAGTTAAAATATCCTGTTTGTATCTTCCGCTATCCGTTCAATTTCCATTATATGTTTGTCTGTTATCTTTGATTTATTCATTATCGATATCAAAAAATAGTGAGTGGGTTGAGTGCTCCAGAATCCCATTCACAATGTCACATATTCAAATGTCTGGCGTCAATGTGATGCGTCGCCGGTTGTTGCATTTAATGACATATTGATATTTAATTTGTTCATGCATGAATATATTGTAAAAATCAGATCTCCAATAGATGCATATGAATTGATTTCTAACTTTTTAATGCCAGAGCGGTTAAGAGTGCAAGATAGTTTATGGACACTTCTTTTTGTTAAGACAAGATGTTCAAAAGTATGAGAAAAGGAGATGTAGAGTGATTGCAATGAGACAACTATCAACCAGAAACCAAATGACGTAGATATTAGAAACTACATGTTACCATAAGGCTTTCAGCATTGGTTGTCGTTGGTTCATGTCTGTTATGTTTATTTTTTTCTGAAATTATATCGTTGCAAATTATGCCGTTAGTTTTCCCCTTGAAATTGTTCCACCTTTTGTAATGTTGGGGCCTTTTATAGTTGAGTATATGGTAAAGGTTTTGTTTATTGTAGAGGGTTTAATAGTGACCTAAAGGGAAAACGGTACTATTACATTTTCCCAGCATTAGGTTGGTCTTTTGTGTACCCAAGGCAGGTGAAGGAAGTCAACTTAGGAGCGCTGTGATTGGATGTTAGGGTACAATATATTTTTTTATTTATCTATGAATAACTGCAGTGTGTATATTTACAATATAAATTTTGAAACCTATTGAAATATTTTCTAGAGAATTATTCGAAAAGACTTCAAAAATTTCATAAATTTGGTGTAAAATGACGGTGGGCATGGATAACATTAACAAGCTCCATTGGAAGTTGGTCATGATACTATTTGGCTTCAATTTTCAAAACAGAATAATAAAGTACTAACACCACACATAACTGTTTTATCGGGGTTTTTATTATAAAAAGTGGTAAATTTAGAAAATGTTAGTATTGTCGCCTATGGCAGAATAAATAGTACCGTTTTCCCTATACTGAAGATAGCAAGGGAAATCAAAATCAATCAGACTTCAGTTAAAGTAAACTATTTTGAAGCTTTTGGTTAGTACATTTGATTTTTATCACAAAGAATAGAATTTTTTCACTGAGAACAATACTGTGTTGAGAGAAGTGCTGAGTCATCATAATAAGTCAAATTGATGGGTACTGATATAAAACTTTATTCTAGGATTTCAATATTAACTATATTGTATAAAATGCACCAAACTATAGTTCTTTTGTATTTGTTTTCACCTTTCGCAATGATTAATTCAATTGGAAACACCAGAATTCAAGTCGCGACAAATATTTTTAACTGAAATATTTGCCTTTTTTGCTGTGTAATTCCCTAAATGTATCACTTGGGTATTTCTGTAGACATAATCTATTCAAATGGGAAATTGTCTGGTTAAGTTTGTACTGTTTATGGAGTAAGGCAACATTTGGTCATACTAGAAGCATTTTCAGTGTTAAAATTGTCCATTTAAGGAAAAAAGAGGCCCACTTGAGGCTAAATTTAGATAGAATTTATACTCTCCTGTGTAAAGAATTGGTCATATTCTTGGCAATTCATGCAGCAAATATTTCAATAGTGCTTCATTTTGTAGTTTCTATCTTTTATTATATCAGGCATATATAATTTTTCATTTTCTACTGTTTGAAAGGACTTTTGTTGGAAATTAATACTCCAAAGGGACATAATTCAGCTTTTTCATAGATTAATACAGGCAACAAAGGCAACTTTACAGCTGAGTATTTTGCATATTTAATGTTGAAAGTGTCTAATATCTTTGTTCTCATCATCTCAAGACAGAATAATGGATTTTATAACAAGCTCTGAAATTTTGAACCACAGTATGGCATATACTAAAGCATGGAATGGAGATTAGTATGAAAAATCTTGAGTTTGTGCTTATGTTGTAAATTTTAGATGAAATGAATACAAATTGAATGGAACTGTTATTTTTATCTGTTTAAATGGAACTGTTTATTATTCTTTTTAAATAAGATAAGATATGATTGGATACAGGTTGTTTATTAAGCCTTATCTGAAAGAAGTAGAGAAAGAGGTAAACCAGCATGTAGGGGTGGGGACATTAAATGATCCATGTTTCTTTAAGTAATGGGAACATACAAGTATTTATTATAGCCAAGGTTTTCACAATAACCCAGTATTGCATTAATGGTGTCAAAAGAATTCTTTATATCTTTATGTCACAGTATAGGGAAAACGGTACTATTACATTTTCCCAGCATTAGGTTGGTCTTTTGTGTACCCAAGGCAGGTGAAGGAAGTCAACTTAGGAGCGCTGTGATTGGATGTTAGGGTACAATATATTTTTTTATTTATCTATGAATAACTGCAGTGTGTATATTTACAATATAAATTTTGAAACCTATTGAAATATTTTCTAGAGAATTATTCGAAAAGACTTCAAAAATTTCATAAATTTGGTGTAAAATGACGGTGGGCATGGATAACATTAGCAAGCTCCATTGGAAGTTGGTCATGATACTATTTGGCTTCAATTTTCAAAACAGAATAATAAAGTACTAACACCACACATAACTGTTTTATCGGGGTGTTTATTATAAAAAGTGGTAAATTTAGAAAATGTTAGTATTGTCGCCTATGGCAGAATAAATAGTACCGTTTTCCCTATAGCATGTATAATGCCTTACATCCAGGTCATTTAAACTGTAGAGGATGTTTGTGTTATTGACAATTGTACTGCATCTTCATTTTTTTTTACAAAACTATGGACAAATACCTAGTACATGTTTTATACAGTCATGATAAACTTAATAGCGAAAAAAATAACATATTTCATTAACGACAAAAAAAAAAGCTAATGTCTATTTTCATGATTTTACAAACTAACAGAATTATAACGCATTTAAGGTTTCAAAACTATTTTTCTTGATTGTTTTGATACTAACGTTGGTTTTATGTCATGATCTTTTCATAATAATGTAGTATTACCTGCAACAGAGTTCGAAACATATATATCCTATCAGAATTAAAGTCAACAAAATGGAGATTGGCGTTCATTTAGTATGGACTGTAAGATATCGTAATAATAAATTAAAACCAAAGAAGGGTAGACAGAATTAACGCGTATATACTTATAATTCTGTGTTAAATTACAGAACAAGATACACTTTACTTGTACTAGTTATTAAAATTGTTATCTTATCTTTTCTATCATTTACTGAAACATACAGTATTTTTAAACATGTTTATATCAAACACAACATGAATTACTGGTTCGTGTTTTTTTGATGCACGTTTGCCAAATTAAGCTAAAAGCGAAAACCATACGCTTTGTTTTTCGTTTGAACGACCATCCTTGCATGCACAATTATATAATTGTTATGATTCTTCAATGATAATATGACGCCAAATGCATACTTAAATGAATATGAAGTAGTTTTTGATAAGTTGTTTTTCATAAACAAGTTTTATTTATTTACCTTTATTATGCCCTTGGTATCATCCCAAACAGGATATATTCATCGCTCACCCAAATAACAAGATAAACTGTTTGACTTGATTGAAATGTACTTTTCTACTTTAATAAAAAAAATAATTCGTTCTCCTGATTAGATTTGAAAAGAAATATTATAGACGGCCAAATTTCTCTTATAACATTTGCTATGCTCTTGGAAATGAAAAACATAAGCTTAAAATCTGAATCGCCTTTTTGTTTTATACCTGTTGAAAGTTTTCAATAAGATTTCTTTATTACGTAATTCCTTGAGTGCTCATTTTCCTCATAAGTGTTTTTTTTTTTAAACTAACATAATCGTAAACTTGGAAATAGTTTACGTATGCAACCTTTCTTCTCTTATCTGATTAAAAGGGCGCCAATCATTGATTGTGTTAGTAATATCACATTTTGAGTATAAAAAAAATACACAATCGACATATTTTACAGACACATGTCCTGACGAATATGTTTTAAAACCTCATTTTGTTTGCAAATTGAGATTAAAAAAAAATTTAATATGTTATTGTTCAAATGACATTACAAATGTATTGTAGTCATACATAACGCTTATTGTATCTCGTCATTGATTTATGTTTTAATGGTTTTAAGAGTAACAAGGTATTTGTGCTTGCAGTTCTTTGGATGTCTCTGACAATGTTTCAAGAAATTTGTTTAAACTGGACGATTTAAAGGTTTACTTAAGATTTAATACAATTTTATTGAACAAAATTACTTTAGATTCATACTTGATATTAGGTTTAAAAATTCTCGAATTTCGTTATCTAAGGTTTGAATTACGAATTAAAATGTGTAATGGAAAATTAATGTTCTGTATGGTGGTATGTAGAACTAATAAAAAACACGAATACAGTATAGAATTGAAAAAAAAACATTCACATTTGTCATTCAACAAACATTAGTATTCATACAAATCATTGAATCAACAGATATACAATAATTGGCAGTGATGCCCTAACTAAAAAAATTCAATGTTTTTCTTTTTCTAATAAAAGTTTGAAAATAAATGAACAATAAGATAGTAAAAATATGTAAATGAATAAACATTATTTTGTATATATTTTAGATTAAATTTGATATATTGGGATTGTAGTAAACATATGACGTAGGTGAAAGTCTCCATCGATCTAGAACGAATATAGATCGTGGTTAGATAAATTACCATGGTAGACTATTTTAAAAGGGTGTTTAAAACAGAATATCATTACAACTTTTTAAACTAACATGTTAAAAGTATAATAAATCAATCCAAACAAAAAAACGAAATGATAACTAAAAATATGGTTTCATATTGGAAAATAGTTAGAATTGATATAATATGATGTGGGAGTAATAATTTGAGATATAAAAACCACTAGCTTGTATAATAATTTTAGAACTGGTTAAACATTGAATTGAGGCAGGATGTTTGCTGAAAAGTTCTTATTTGTACTGGCAGTGCCTGTTCAAATCTTGATATTTTCAAAAGAAACAGGTAATCATACATTCATCATCTTTGTTTTATGTAATTAAAACTAACGTAAAAAATGATGGGGACTAAAACTAAAACTAAAGCTGAAAAAGCCTATTAAACAAGGAATCAAATAAATATCTACAAATTGAAAAATCAAAATAAAGGCAAAAGAATTATTAAAATCAACAATGCATGGAATCGTTGCATTACTGGTGAAAGGTTTTGTAATAAGCTGGTGATTTGTGGATTAAAACACGCTATAATCATATAATGAAATGCATTATTGGTATGCTCATATATTTGCTTATTTAATTATTACTGTTCCTCTTCAGAGCTAAACATTGTTCTGCTCCCCACTTCTGAACGTGGGAAGATTGTCATTTTTGCATTATTGTGCTTAAGGACAAGGTATAAAACGTCCACTGTTTGGCCCTCTGAATTAGATTTTTATATCTATAAATAAACATACTTCGGATGTTCATAGAACATTAAACTATTACTCAGCAGTATTATTAGTTTGGGTTTTGGCTTACATGCTTGCATAAGAGCTTCAAATCATTTGATGAAAAACTGCTAAAACTGCAAAAATTCTGTTTCTTTAAATATTGTCATCAATATTTAGAAATGAGCAACAGAGATATTTTGCTACAAATTCCATTTGGTCCGAGTACACAGTTATTTCGTAGTGCATTTCTTTTAGACAATAAATGAAAATGAAAAAAAAAAACAACCTGCGCTTTGTCAATAATATTTTCACAGTTTGTTGTACTACTTTTAGGACAAATTATATCAATATAATAGAAAACTTCATCGGCTCTAACTCAAAATATGGACAATTTCATGTTAAGGGGGTCTTGAAATCTTTTAACAGCTTCCGAAGTGCTAATTTTTAACCTTTTTCAGCTGGACCAAATCACTACTTTACTTTAAAATTTAAGATCCAAATTTTTTTACGGTACTTGCTTTTTGAGGCATAAAACATGAAGAAATATATTTGGAAGAGGTATAAAAAAATGGCAATAACACACTGTCCACACTAGGGACTATATTTGTGGACAACGAAACTCAAGAGACGATAACTGTGTTCCCGGACCTAATGGGATAGAAAAACTTGACCAATCTTAATAAAACTTAGTATGACTAAAGCTTAATATATTATGAGACTGCTGACAAAGTTTCAAGGTAATAGAATATATATTATAGACAATATGATAAATTCTATATTCATCTTTGCGTGTTAAATTTTGACGTTAAAATTGAAAAATTCAACTATCAACATTTGGAGCTTTAAACATTAAAATATTGCAAAAGATTACTTTTTAAATGCCTTAATATATAATATATCATGTATTAAAAGCAATAGTATTCTCATTTGATTTATCAGACTTATCACAATTTTTCAAAAGTCAAATTTATATGAGCCTGTGCCAAAAAATTGAGTTTTTCCAATGAAGGGGGCTTTACATGTAGATGTAATATGTTCCGGCAATTTTAAATTTGTTAAGTTTTTTGGTTATAAATAGTCCTTACATATGTATTTAACGTACTTTAAATGGAAAGAAAAATTACAAATATCATACCATATTAGTATAAAAAGGTCTTTAGCCAAGTTGGACTGAAAATAATTTTGGGTGAATTTAGCCCGTAGCACATATTTACATTTAAAAATGCATACTGAAGCTATAGGAAATAAATATTTGTGTCTTTTTTTATAATTTCTACTCAGGTTACATGATACAATAAATCTGAGCACAAAAGGACTCTTGCATTCAACTTTTTTTGCAGACAGTATGGTCTGATACAAAGATTTTTCACTTTTTAGTGAAAAACTTGCGTGAAATTTTAGTCTCAATAGGCTTATATTTGAACCACTTTCTATTCTACTGAAGAAAAGAAAAGATATTATGTGAAATGAAACAGGTATAAAAGACATTGTATAGTGCTTCTTTTTATACAAATTTAGTGAAATCTTTATTATGGACTTCAACTTTTATGTACAACGAAAATCAAGGGACGAAAACTGTGTTCCCGGACCATTTTACAAAGATGCAAATGTGTGTAAAATATCTTTTTGGTTTAAGCTATTGCTCATATGCATTTTGACCAAAAACAAGATGTGAAATTGTCATTTCCATTCAAGTATTTCAATTTCGACATGTTTATGACATCGTAGCGTTATCGCAAGTGACCTTTCTGCACCAAATTGTCCAGATTATATCATCCTGCTCATTTTTGAATAACATTCAGGTAATTGAAAAGGGCTGGAATTATTTACTATGTTGATCACTTCAGGGGCAGAATAATGGCTCTTATCATACGTCAACCTTTCCGAATTATAAGAAATATATAATTGGTGGAGTTGAACACATAGGAAAACTGTTAACCTTAAGATCTTTTTTTTATTACAGCCAAGGAAACTATGCCACTCCACGATTAAAGTCTGTGTCAGAGTGTACTAAATATTGAGATTCATTTATATTTCTAAAACTTTTCAAAGTTTGTCACAGTTCCTTTTGATTGTGTGTGAAAACTCGACGGTCTGCTAAAATCTCCCTTTAAATTCATGCAATTATAAATACAGGATTACCCTGTGTTCCTTTTTCGTAGATGTAAAATTTAAGTCATAAAGAAACTAGCCATTAAAGCACAAAGAAAAGTTTGTCGTCGGATCCAGTGAATACCGGAAATTATCTCCGCAGCTCGTTTAAATATTTCGATGATTCAATTAAAACTACGACAATTGTTTTCACCTTTTTTAATTTTTAACTATGAGCGTACCTACGGCCCACTTAGATATTTGAATTGCATCAACATTTATATTCAAGGAATGTCAAGCATGAATATGATCGTGGGCCGTAGGTACGCTCATAGTTTGATATGCAGAAAAACGTTTGTAAACTGCCATTTTTTTACCCTTTTCGCGAATCATGAGGTGTTTACAGCAACAAACATGAATGAAATCAGCGGAAGTTGACACATTTATTGATGTTTACAAAAATATAGGTTTTAAACTTTGAAAATAAAGTATTATAATTTATGGCACATCACTTTTTATTTGAATGCAAATTTGGGGCTGTCCTCTGATACTTATCGTACCTTGTCCTTTTGGCAACAGAAGTTGACCGATTATCAAATCTCATTAATCGATTACGAACACAAAAAAATCAAAGTTAAAAAAAAGCTTAAAGAATCTCATGAACTCCAAATGTAATGAGACCGGGTGTGTTTATGAGATACGTCTCTATTTGAAAATTATGAACTTGCACTAAGGTTTGTCTACATCATTTTATTTAACATTTATTATGAGTAAATGTAGCGTTACATTATTCATAAACACTTCAAATGGGAGAAAGAGAAATAGGTAAACAATGTTACATTTAGGCGAGATGAATCTAAATAATTGATGTCACACCGAACCCATCGTTAAAAGTAGTGACAGGGTCCATTTTAATTTATTTTTTAACAAATGTATAAATTAAATGAAGGAAAAGCCCCTGGAGCACAATATACACTTTCTGCTGTTAAATACTATATAAACCTCTTTCAACACCCCATTTATTTTATGGTTGACATATAACGGAGTGTTGATATATAATTCTTTCAATTATAAGACAGACAGTTATATCAATATATTTATACATTAACATTATATGTGGGAAAACAAACATTTGGTAACGCAAAGGAGAAAGTCCGGCAAGGGCTAGTTTTGGCCTAAAATTCGAAGTACATCTGATAAAAGATTATAAACATTTTTTAAACACTGAAGTGTCTACTCCAGCCGATTCAATTAGTTTATGTAAAAGATTGAATTGATTTGGTCATTAAAGACGCTCACATTCAAACTTAAATATGAAAAATCTATCAAATATGCCATAAAACGTCACTTTTCAGATGGTTTTTATCTGACAAAAACCGTCTTAAAATAACACAAATGCCACAATTGTGAAGATTTCAGTAATTTTGCATGCATGTATGATGCTATAACCTGATTCATGTGCATTGTATGGTCAAAAACAGCCCATATCTATGGAACACAAGTATTCTACTTTTTAATAAAGATATGAATGTATACATATATACAAGTCTAAATAGCGGGATTCGAACCATTGCTTCTGTGACTTCGTGGCAACTCCATCTGCACTGTGTCCAGCGCCGTAGACCACTCGACCAACTAGGCTATATAAAGATATAGCTTCCGTTAATCGTGTAATGCCTTCCCTCGTCAGCTTTATCTAGGGCTGAAACACTAACACCGTACATGATGTACAATATATAATGGCAAGAACAATGGTATATCTTTCAGATCAGTTATGTTTTGTCTGTCGTAAAACAATGATAATGTCATTACCATGCCGTCACATCAACCTATATTTTATAATGTGCTAAAATTATCAATGTGTCATTCAGGTTTTTTTTTTTATCGTTTTTCCTATATATATAGCTATCGATGTAAGTATAAGTTTAAACAATTATTCGCAGAATGATAACGGAAATATGGTACTACCCGTTTTCAAGCTGCACTAACAGGAAGTTTCGATGTTCATGCTCATTATTTATAGCAATTTGTCAAAATCGATGCTATTTTTCATTCACAATTGTAGTTTCTATTTATCTTTATAATTTATAAATGTGTAAACCGAAAAGGAAAGGACAAGTATAATGAAGTCCGTTAAAAGAGACGATATACAGTATGTTTGACAATCTAGGAGTTTTTAAGGGGGTGCCGAACACATGACTTAAATAGATTTGGCTCGTTAAATATTCATAAAATGATGACAACATATTTACTTTGACCTATTGACAAAAATATAAAATAAATAAGAAATTTGAACCACCCAATTTACATGAATAATTTTATTGAATATATAGCAGATGGGCAAACACTAATAATTATCATTGAGAAGCTTGATTTCTCTATACTAATAGTGTATGCAATTAAAAAGTCCAGCTGGTTTTTTAAAAGTTTACTTCTCAGATGTTCTGTACCGCCTGAATAACCTGCTATTCACTACAAATTACTGTGATTGACTTAAGAATTAGCTAAGTAAACACACACACATGAGGTACGGACAGACGGCATATATATAAATGTTCCGTTATTGTTACTTCACACAGTTTGCCTCTTTTGCCGATTCTTTTATGTTATATATTTGTATTTGCAACTAGATGCTGCTTGTTCCCTACCAACAGAGCTTAAAAATGGACAGTGGAAGTATACGTACACAGACGTACAAAACACTGAAAAAACAACTACAGTAACATTTGGCACTACAACTATTTCTTCAGGCATCTCAGTTAATGCCCTTGGGACAACAATAGATGAATGGAACTGTATATCTAGCTTACAGATCTCAGATACGGTATCTGTTGCTGCTTTTAAGTATGTATTATATTTCGACTACTTACATTTAGAATGAATACACGATAAAAAAAATATGGTACAAGATGATTATATAATGCATGGTAAAGCTCACTTTTTTGTTTGTTTTAATTTTGTGCTGTTTCAACTCTGTCTCAGATTAGCGCTCATTTATTACCAAATCAAATTTTATCGGCAATACAGTTTAACTAAACGATGATTTGCCTTGAACATGTATCTTTAATATTTTGTTACAACCACTGCGTCGATGTCACTGCTGAGTGGCGTTATATCTCCAATGGTATCAACAGCCCAGTAGTTTTGTGCTAATGTGAAATTTACTGTCTATAAAGTATCGAGATATGAAAGAAAACTAAGATTTTTGTACTCCAAGGCATAAATTGCCTTCGCCGTATTAAGTACAGAATAACTTTTTGGAATTTTCCTTTAGTAATGATCTTTAACTTTGTTATTTGATTTGGCTTTGCAACAGTTTTGATTCGAGCACCTCAAGGGAGACTTATGTACACAAAATTATAAACTTTGTATCTTTGATGAGTTTTTCAACCCCTGGGTCGATGCCAATGCCAGATCACGTTTCGTTACTGAAACTATAACCCTTTCAGTAGTGAGGGCGTTATTCTGTGCTTACAATAAATATAACCGATTTACTCATTTTGTTTGTTAATTCACTGTTTATAAATTGTTGAAATATTTCAAATACTATTGTTTTTTCTACATCCGAGAGTAGATTACTATGCCGTATTTGGCACAATTTTTCGGAACTATCAGTTATTTATTCTCTTCAACATCGTTTTCTGATTAGACTTTGCAACAGTTTTGAATCGAAACACTCCGGTGACTCTTATATAGACGAAACGCGCGTCAGACGTACCAATTTATCAGCCTGGTATCGTTGATAAGTTTTAACTTCAAAACAAAATTTGTTTGAAAACAATAATTGTTTATGTTCTTTTTCATACTCGCTGACATATTTTAAGAGAAGTTAGATCTGATCCTGACAGTATGTGTTTGTTGAATCATTTTATGGTGTGCTAGAACGCTAAAAATTTTACAATTATAAAAAACTCCAAGATATCGTATCCTTAATATCAAATCTATATACAACTTAACAAATATATGAATATCATCATGCTTACCATTTATTGTATACTCAATAATTATACAAATACAAATATGCTTTATTCTAAAAATTACACTCTGTAATAATCATTTCTAATATTATAGCTCAACTTCATAACACAAGTTAACTGTATTTCAAAGTAATAAATCAATTCTAAGGTGGATTATACGATACAGAAATATCACTTATTACTACGTACTTTACGTACACGTGAAATATTAAAACGAAGTACCGCATATTGATACATCTACAGTCCTTAGATGGTGTAAACTTCCCATTAACACCATACACCACTACACCGTTCACCATACACCATTACACTATACACCCTGTGTCATTACCCCATACACGTTACACCTTTGCACCATACACCTTACACATTACACCATAATGCAATTTTATTTCAAAGAAAGCGTGCGACTACAAAATTATTTATTTATTTTAAAAAACGAATTTTGATCAAAATATTGTAAATTAATGTATGAAATTAAAAATCAGTTCTTATAATTATTTTGCAGTTTTAAATGTTGTACACCATTCATTCACCATTCCCGATCGCACGTTACACCATTACACCATTCCCCTTACACCATACAGCATAGCACTATACGCCTTCTACCATTGCACCATATGCCATACACCATTACACCATACACGGTTTTTTTGGGAAGTTTACACCATCCAAGGGCTGTATATAATGAGTTAAACTATTCGTTGTGGATGTGGCTTTGTTTATCATTGTACAGAATTTTGCGACAGACAAAGTTACTCAGCCCTGTTAAACGGTAAAAAAGATATATTAGATGACACATGCAAATTGCTTCTCTTTAGAGTGTCTTCCCCAACTGTCCTTTTCGAGTGAGATTGTGATTGCATTTTATTGCACACCTGCTTTATCGTTACAAGAATTAGCAAGTTGAAACAGAAGTCACAGAAGTCAATTTTATGACAGTCATTCCCCTCTCCAAAAAGTGCACTGGTTTCGTTTGTCCGTACTTACATCCTTCCATCAGGTCGTCCGCCCCATAAATGTTTTTGTCAGGAACGTCAAATTAGAGGTTCCTAATTCTAATAATAAGCTTCGGGTAAACTTGCTATACCGCGTGATTCTTGTTTACCGAATATGTATGTATTCTTTCCAATGAAAGTTATGTTTGATATTATAGCCAGTTATCACAAAAACCACTTACTAGTAATTTCCTGAAATTTGGTAGTTAGCAACATGTATGCATTTTATCCAGTATGATACATTTTCAGATTCATTACTGAACAACGTCTTTTTTACACTTCAATTGCTCATCAACTTCCTATTTACCTTATACTTAAATAGTGGTATCGTTTTAAAGACCAATAGCAAAAATACATATTTTCTTTTTTATTGTGAATTAAAATACACAAATCATCACATCTTAAACATATGACCTACCTATATATCATTATTTTGTCATTTTTTGTTCAACATATAATTGTGATTGACGCTTTGATATCATCTTCCTCATTTTATATAACGTATTAATTTACAAGAAAGGCATCACTTTTAGTAAAGCTAGTATGACTGTTTAAAAGAACCTAATACATTTACTAAGATATCAGTTAAAAAAATAAATAAAAAGCCTAACAGCAATAAATGTACCTTCAGGGAAAAGGCACCTAAAAACGACAAACATTAACGAACCCTTACATCAAAATTCGAAAGCAAATACAGGTGCTTTTGGAGGATATGGCAATTGATGAAATTTCTAATAAGCACAAAATCCATAAATCCTCCTGCATCACTATAGAAAGTCAATAGGGATTTGATTTTTCAATGTTTTTTTTTTAATTTATTTTTTTAAGTCTCCCAAACAAAGTTTGGAAAATTCTTCTTTTTCTTCTTCTTCTTTTTCTTCTTCTTCTTCTTCTTCTTCCAGAAGTAGCTTCTTGTCAATTAATTAAAATAGTATTGTGGAAAACCCTTCAATTCAACTATTTATTATTTTTGTTGTATTTGTTGTAGAAGTACAAAACATTATAGTGATTTCAATAGTGGTTCACGATGGTTATATATGTGTATGAAATTCACAAAAGTATCAAACGACTTGTTTTACTTTTATCTATTGTCGGGTACGTATTTTATATTAGTTAATTTTCTAGCGTTCGTTTATTGCACGATTTTACATGAGACCATTGGAACAATGATAAAGTCTCGTTTATACATTGTATTTTCAACTGTAATGCATTTATTACCTTGAATGCTGACCTACTTTGTTTTTTTTTCTGGAACTATAATGCTTTATCAACACATTAGTGCATGCACGTGACATGCGTACACATAGTTAATCCTGGCTTATGGTGATGTTCTTTGTTAAACGTCTCATATTTGTGAAAATTCCCTTGTTTCTAGATTTCATGGTCTATACCTGAGTTTTCATAATGTATTATGGTCACAATTACGATTATTGTTAAGGGTTACAAAATGTCCTCAGCATATATGACCATTTTTTTACATTACATATAAGCAAATACAACTTATCACCGTTTATTAATAATGACATCAACAGTGTGGGGTTTCTGTAGCCGCCTGGAACCTTTTTATATTTATGGTTGACATTTTAATATGTTTTTGATGGATTGTTTATTAAATAGATTGAAATTATATGTGTAAGGTTCACTGTCATGTGAAATGAATGTGTTGTTTTTAGCTCCACGATGTTGTGTTTTTTTGTCCTATATTGACCTAAAAATCTCAATTTGACCCCAAGCCTTTGTTCTTTGTTTCAGCTTTTTAATTATACATTTCGAAATGTTCTAATGGTTGTTTTTTTATTAACCGAAGTACTCGCATTACAATATATGTATACTACTCAAGGACTACTCAAGGCTAAGGTGCTAAAAAAAATTAATCATCAATATGTTAATGTGTCTGTCCAATGCCAGACACCCCAGAATTGGGTGATCATAGTTGTCTACTTTTTGCATAGTGTAGCAGGTTCCAGAAACAATTTAACGACAGAATCCAACTAAATGGTAAGGTGTCGTTTATACCTGTTAAATCCGTTAAAAGAAAACGCATGATTCACACGAGCAACTTTCCTAATTAGTCCCGTATGCCTTCTTTGTTCAATGTTAAACATGTAGACTTGAAAAGGTCGCGTGTGATCCACGACCCCTTTCCAGCGCTTAGATTCGATTATCGGACATTAAGCGTAGGATATACATACACTTAATTGTTGAATAAAGGGAAAACAGTGGTTGTACGTGATACACCAAAATCGTCAAATAATGCAGAAAGTATCAGTATTATTAACATCAATGTGTTTAAATCTTACTCTGCCACTTCAATGTTTTCAATGTTCATGAATATCATCATCGGCGCTTTGAATTCATGCTTTATAGGTAGCTTGAATTTATTATATTCGCTCACAGTACAATGCTATTTCTGAGATATTTAGATACAATTTGTTTAAATATTGAAATTAAACAATTTGTCTTGTTTATGCTCTATCGAAATTTGGGGAAAATTGTGATTCAGAATTAAGCTATTCTAATAGAAACTGAAGAAGTTTTTCATTTATAAATAATGGCATCCAAGCATATACATGTTTATTTCTGCAGACGTTGACACCACTATTTACCCAGCGGAGAGGATATATAACCCCCTAGTGCAGCCAAATCAAGATGGTGATATATGTAGTACGTTTTGTTCTTACGCCGATTCAAAGCCAAAGATCCGTACGCTTGAAAAAGAAGGTACATAAGACTTTTTGTTACCTTGTTAGTCTGGTATGTAGGGTATATGATTACATGACTATTTAAACGTATGATTGTGCACTTTTTAACTGTACAATATCGAACAACCTTATGAGAATGTATTGTATCGTTTTAAATAGATACATATATTTATAACCAACATTATTGCTCTTTCCTATAAGACGAAAATTTCAAAGATTTAGTTACAATGTCAAATTGATAAAATAGAAAAAGCTTGAAAGATAACATCGATAAGAAATTTCAAGTGGAGAAATAGTGAAAACAAATGATCAATTGATGACGAAGATGATGATGTCAGAACAAAATAATCCAACAGGTGCATAATCGATTTTCTCCTATGAATTCAACAATGTTTTCTTGGCATTCTACACATTCAATTTGTTTCTGGGACTGTCTGATAAAACTTTTCCATACGTTTTTTTACAATATCACCGACGAAAAAGTATTTTCCTAACACAACCTAAAGTGCCATGGTCTAGCAGCTATTCACCGATTGTATTTGTTATTCACTATGAAATACGATTTATCGTGGGCTATCAAATTTCAAATATTCTAATTCGGTATTTCCCATTATATTAAGGATATATTTTTTGACAGGACACAGAAGTAAACAAATTATGAACTTATCAATAATGGGTATTTTTTATAATTGTCAGGAACAAGTGATGTGTTGCCTGACGATTCATCCTTGTGTGAGCCTTGCGGCGATTCCTGTGAAAAAGGTACATCATTAAATATGTTTTAACTTGTTCAAATGATAAAGTTCTAAATTGTGTAGACGCATATTTAGCGGCTTTATTCTGATATTTCTTTTATACAAGAAAAACAATGTCGTGCTCACATGCATGGTTTATAGACAGTGTCCATTGCAGTATTTCTTATATGTTAAACATGTTTAATATATTGTTGTTTTACCGTGATTTGTATTTGCGAGATTTTGGGTTGGTGTTGCTTGGTCTTTAGTTTCTATGTTGTGTCATCTGTACTATTATTTGTCTGTTTGTCTTTTTATTTTGAGGCCATGGCGTTGTCAGTTTGTTTTCGATCTATGAGTTTGACTGTCCCTCTTTTGTAGACATCGTTGAACTAGCATTTTATATTATCACCATGTTTAGAGTTATGAGCATTCAGATAGTTCATGTTTCACTGATGACTAGAGTTGTCTGTTATCATTGTTAATTTATCAATTCGTATCTAACATCTAAAGGCATGATGATAAACATTGTATTATTTAGTCATCGAACTAGGTTACTAAAGTTCTTAATGACTAAAAGTAGATTAAAGCGAAGTAGTTAATAGATGTTACAATCTCGTTAATCGATAGAAAAGATATAAATCAAGGTAACAAACTGAAACTAACGGAATAGCATGAACTCCAAAAGGATCGAGACCGTGTGTGTCTAGAGGGAGAACGTCTTGTGGTATGCAGGCGAATTCACGCTCAGTAAAATTTAAAAATCGGGTCAGACGACTATATTGGTATCTCACTTATTGGTGACTATAATAGCGATACGGTCCAACAATTGGTAAACTCTAAACACACCCTTGCAATGATATCCTAATTAGATAATGTAACTTAACCAAACGTACATCCTCAGAATATCGGTCCGCAACTCCCGATCAGTTCTGTAATGAATACTACAGATCACGTTTCCATTGGTTTGAATGATTAATAAAATCTACTACTTGTATAAAATATCATTGCAAAAAGGGCAAGCTAACTTATACTAGTTATCAAACAATATCATTTTACACTTTTAATATAGAAATGAATCTAACGGTATCAAATTTATTGGCGAATAATAGGAATTCAGAAAAGAAATAAAAATGAAACGACCACTATGCGATGAAATCTTAGTTCAGCAAGATCAAAGAAAAACATGACTTATAACTTTCACGATACCAATTATACTGCACCATATGCGCATTTCATAATGGTCAATTGTACTGTTATTATCAATCAATTTTCTTTGCAAAAAAAAACAGAACAAACAATGCATGATTGCTCTATATCTAGTGTCAACCGTATAACGTCAAATGAACAAGAATGACTAATTAGTGACAGTCCTAACAAATATTTCTAAATATCTTGATATGCTGTTTAAAATCCTTAAACATTTGCTGGCAGCTATTTACCATAACCTTCCGGAGCACCTGAGTTCAACCCCGGTATTTTGCTGTGGCGTGTGTTGTTTAGCCTTTTTTTGTAATATTTTGTCCAATGATCTGTATTTTTGTCGTTCAACGATTTTTGTCATGTCTTTTTCAGTATTTCTACATGAATTTTTAATGTCTCCTTAGTATTTTCCGTCTCTTTTTTTAGCCCCAATTGTTTGTACAGTTTCGGAAACTGTGCCGTTTGTAACAGGACCTACTAACGGGAGCTACAATTATCTCGATAAGATAACTTACTCTTGTAACATTGGATATGAAGTGCAATCTGGTAACCTCGAACGTACATGCCAGGACGACGGGTCATGGAGCGGAAGTCCTCTTGTTTGTGGTATTCATTTGTTTTAAAATTTTTAGTTTTACAATTGATATCTTTTCGGTTGGTTTCAATAAATGAAAGTTTGTAAAAAAATTTACGACTCTCCTAACATAAACAAATTTCATTTGAACAAAGATAAAATCAGCAGTCAGTGACACAAGAAAATGTTTTCCAATACTTAATTTGTGGAAAGGAAACATTTCTACACATACTTCGGATATTCGCGAAAACACCAAGACTTAATTTGTGGAAGGATACATTCCTACAAATACTTAGGATATTCGCGAAAACACTAGTTTTAATCAATATGACATGATAAAGTCTCGATGAGAATAAGTGTCAAAACCTTAATTTACACACAATGCTATGAAAACAACATCGATATTTCTAATATTTTCAAATCTATACAACAACAGCTTTGTGGTTGAATGTTATAATTGCAATATCATGAGAAGCGTATGGTAAAGATAATATAATTTGAAAAAAGGATCTACATAAAATTATGCTATTATGGTAATTTATTCGACCAATCCAAATATTTGTATTGTCGAAAACACGTAATTGTTAGAAAACGAAAGCGGTAAATACTTTGAACATAAAATACTAAAGTTGTTAACGAGTTCTAGGGATAAAGAAAAAGAAACAAAATGAAACGGAAACTACATATTGTACGAAAACTCATTCCAGCCATATCAAATGGAAACTTGACTAAGTGGTGTATTTTGTACTTTTATATTTTATTATTCAAAAAACAATAACCATTACCAAAAAAAAAAAAACAATGCAGGATTGGTGTACTTTTAACAATGTTGTGTCAGATGAATAAACACAATGACTTAGTGGTAGTTTTTAAACTAAAACCATTGTAAATATCCTATGCTGATTAAAAAAGTTAATACACATTTGCTGCCAGCTATTCAATAATTGGTTGAATTTAAATTGTGTTATCATCTTTCAGCCCCAATTGTTTGTATAGTTCCGGAAACTGTAGAGTTTTCAACAGGACCTACCGACGGAAGCTACGATTACCTCGATATGATAACTTACTCTTGTAATACAGGATATGAAGTTCAATCTGGTAACCTCGAACGTTCATGTCAAGACGACAAAACATGGAGCGGAAGTCCTCCGGTTTGTGGTGTGTATTTGTTTTACAATTTCTAGTATAATAATGGATATCTTTTCGTTTCGTTTTATTAAATGAAAGTTTGTAAAAATTTAACAACACTCCTAACATGAACAAATTTTATTTGAACAAAGATAAAATCAGCAGTCAGTGAAAACATTCCTTCAATACTTAGTATATGGAAAGAAACATTCCTACAAATACTTAGGATATTCGCGAAAACACACGTTTTAATCAATATGGCATGATAAAGTCTCGATGAGAATAAGTGTCAAAACCTTAATTTACACACAACGATATGAAATTAACATCGATATTACATATTTTTTTCAAATCGATACAACAACAGCTTTGTGGTTGCATGTTATGTTTGCAACATCATGGGAAGAGTATGGCAAAATAATATAATTCGAAAAATTAATGTACATATGCTATTATGTTGAATTTTTTCGACCAATCCAAATATTTGTATTGTCGAAAACACGTTATTGTCATAAAACAATAGCGGTAAATACTTTAAACATAAAATACATAAGTTGTTAACGAGTTCTAGGGATAAAGAAAAAGAAACAAAATGAAACGGAAACTACATATTGTAAGAAAACTCATTCCAGCCATATCAAATGGAAACTTGACTAAGTGGTATATTTTGTACTTTTATATTTTATTACTGAAAAACATCAATAACCATTACATAACAAACAATGCAGTATTGTTTTAGTTTTAACAATGTTGTGTCAGATGAATGACCACAATGACTTAGTGGTAGTTTTTAAACTAAAACCATTGTAAATATCCTATGCTGATTAAAAAAGTTAATACACATTTGCTACCAGCTATTGAATATTTGGTTGAATTTAAATTGTGTTATCATCTTTCAGCCCCAATTGTTTGTATAGTTCCGGAAACTGTAGAGTTTGCAACAGGACCTACCGACGGAAGCTACAATTACCTCGATACGATAACTTACTCTTGTAACACAGGATATGAAGTTCAATCTGGTAATCTCGAACGTTCATGTCAAGATGACAAAACATGGAGCGGAAGTCCTCCGGTTTGTGGTGTGTATTTGTTTTACAATTTCTAGTATAATAATGGATATCTTTTCGCTTCGTTTCATTAAATGAAAGTTTGTAAAAATGTAACGACTCTCCTAACATTAACAGATTTTATTTGAAGAAGATAAAATCAGCAGTCAGTAAAACAAGACAAATTACTTCAATACTTGATATGTGGAAAAGAAACATTCCTACAAATACTTAGGTTATTCGCGAAAACATTAGTTTTAATCAATATGGCATGATAAAATCTCGATGAGAATAAGTGTCAAAACCTTAATTTACACACAATGCTATGAAAACAACATCGATATTTCTAATATTTTCAAATCGATACAACAACAGCTTTGTGGTTGAATGTTATGTTTGCAACATCATGTGAAGAGTATGGAAAAATAATATAATTTGAAAAAAGGATGTACATATGCTATTATGGTGAATTCATTCGACCAATCCAAATATTTGTATTGTCGAACACACGTAATTGTTATAAAACAATAGCGGTACATACTTTCAGCATAAAATTCTAAAGTCTAGGGATGAAAAAAAGAAAAAAAATTAACCGGAAACTACATATTGTAAGAAAACTTATTCCAGCCATATCAAAAGGAAACTTGACTAAGTGGTATATTTTGTACTTTTATAATTTATTACTGAAAAAATCAATAACCATTACAATACATAACAAAAAATGCAGGTTTTCTGTAGTTTTAACAAAGTCGTGTCAGATAATTAAGCACAATGACTTAGTGGTAGTTTTTAAACTAAAACCATTGTAAATATCCTATGCTGATTAAAAAAATTAATACACATTTGCTACCAGCTATTGAATATTTGGTTGAATTTAAATTGTGTTATCATCTTTCAGCCCCAATTGTTTGTATAGTTCCGGAAACTGTAGAGTTTGCAACAGGACCTACCGACGGAAGCTACAATTACCTCGATATGATAACTTACTCTTGTAACACAGGATATGAAGTTCAATCTGGTAATCTCGAACGTTCATGTCAAGATGACAAAACATGGAGCGGAAGTCCTCCGGTTTGTGGTGTGTATTTGTTTTACAATTTCTAGTATAATAATGGATATCTTTTCGCTTCGTTTCATTAAATGAAAGTTTGTAAAAATGTAACGACTCTCCTAACATTAACAGATTTTATTTGAAGAAAGATAAAATCAGCAGTCAGTAAAACAAGACAAATTACTTCAATACTTGATATGTGGAAAAGAAACATTCCTACAAATACTTAGGTTATTCGCGAAAACATTAATTTTAATCAATATGGCATGATAAAATCTCGATGAGAATAAGTGTCAAAATCTTAATTTACACACAATGCTATGAAAACAACATCGATATTTCTAATATTTTCAAATCGATACAACAACAGCTTTGTGGTTGAATGTTATGTTTGCAACATCATGTGAAGAGTATGGAAAAATAATATAATTTGAAAAAAGGATGTACATATGCTATTATGGTGAATTCATTCGACCAATCCAAATATTTGTATTGTCGAAAACACGTAGTTGTTATAAAACAATAGCGGTACATACTTTCAGCATAAAATACTAAAGTCTAGGGATGAAAAAAAGAAAAAAAATTAACCGGAAACTACATATTGTAAGAAAACTTATTCCAGCCATATCAAAAGGAAACTTGACTAAGTGGTATATTTTGTACTTATATAATTTATTACTGAAAAAATCAATAACCATTACATTACATAACAAAAAATGCAGGATTTCTGTAGTTTTAACAAAGTCGTGTCAGATAATTAAGCACAATGACTTAGTGGTAGTTTTTAAACTAAAACCATTGTAAATATCCTATGCTGATTAAAAAAGTTAATACACATTTGCTGCCAGTTATTCAATAATTGATTGAATTTAAATTGTGTTATCATCTTTCAGCCCCTATTGTTTGTATAGTTCCGGAAACTGTAGAGTTTGCAACAGGACCTACCGACGGAAGCTACAATTACCTCGATATGATAACTTACTCTTGTAACACAGGATATGAAGTTCAATCTGGTAATCTCGAACGTTCATGTCAAGATGACAAAACATGGAGCGGAAGTCCTCCGGTTTGTGGTGTGTATTTGTTTTACAATTTCTAGTATAATAATGGATATCTTTTCGCTTCGTTTCATTAAACGAAAGTTTGTAAAAATGTAACGACTCTCCTAACATAAACAGATTTTATTTGAACAAATATAAAATCAGCAGTCATTTAAACAAGAATATTACTTCAGTACTTGATATGTGGAAAGGAAACATTCCTACAAATACTTAGGTTATTCGCAAAAAACACTAGTTTTAATCTATATGGCATGATAAAATCTCGATGAGAATAAGTGTCAAAATCTTAATTTGCACACAATGCTAAGAAACCAACATCGATATAACTAATATTTTCAAATCGATACAACAACAGCTTTGTGGTTGAATGTTATGTTTGCAACATCATGAAAAGAGTATGGCAAAATAATATATTTTGAAAAATGGATATACATGTATATATGCTATTATGTTGAATTTTTTCGACCAATCCAAATATTTGTATTGTCGAAAACTTGTAATTGTTATAAAACAATAGCGGTAAATACTTTAAACATGAAATACTGAAGTTGTTAACGAGTTCTAGGGATAAAGAAAAAAAAACAAAATGAAACGGAAACTACATATTGTCAGAAATCTTATTCCAGCCATATCAAAAGGAAACTTGACTAAGTGGTATATTTTGTCCTTTTATGATTTATTACTCAAAAAATCGATTACCTTTACATAACAATCGATGCAGGATTGCTTTAGTTTTAACAATGTTGTGTCAGATGAATGACCACAATGACTTAGTGGTAGTTTTGAAACTAAAACCATTGTAAATATCATATGCTGATTAAAAAAGCTAATACACATTTGCTGCCAGCTATTCAATAATTGGTTGAATTTAAATTGTGTTATCAACTTTCAGCCCCTATTGTTTGTATAGTTCCGGAAACTGTAGAGTTTGCAACAGGACCTACCGACGGAAGCTACAATTACCTCGATATGATAACTTACTCTTGTAACACAGGATATGAAGTTCAATCTGGTAATCTCGAACGTTCATGTCAAGATGACAAAACATGGAGCGGAAGTCCTCCGGTTTGTGGTGTGTATTTGTTTTACAATTTCTAGTATAATAATGGATATCTTTTCGTTTCGTTTCATTAAATGAAAGTTTGTGAAAATTTAACGACTCTCTTAACATTAACAGATTTTATTTGAACAAATATAAAATCAGCAGTCATTTAAACAAGAAAAATTACTTCAGTACTTGATATGTGGAAAGGAAACATTCCTACAAATACTTTGGTTATTCGCAAAAAAACACTAGTTTTAATCTATATGGCATGATAAAATCTCGATGAGAATAAGTGTCAAAATCTTAATTTGCACACAATGCTATGAAACCAACATCGATATTACTAATATTTTCAAATCGATACAACAACAGCTTTTTGGTTGAATGTTATATTTGCAACATCATGAGAAGAGTATGGCAAAATAATATAATTTGAAAAATGGATATACATGTATATATGCTATTATGTTGAATTAATTCGACCAATCCAAATATTTGTATTGTCGAAAACTTGTAATGGTTATAAAACAATAGCGGTAAATACTTTAAAAATAAAATACTGAAGTTGTTAACGAGTTCTAGGGATAAAGAAAAAGAAACAAAATGAAACGGAAACTACGTATTGTCAGAAATCTTATTCAAGCCATATCAAAAGGAAACTTGACTAAGTGGTATATTTTGTCCTTTTATGATTTATTACTTAAAAAATCGATTACCTTTACATAACAAACAATGCAGGATTGTTTTAGTTTTAAAAATGTTGTGTCAGATGAATGACCACACTGACTTAGTGGTAGTTTTGAAACTAAAACCATTGTAAATATCATATGCTGATTAAAAAAGTTAATACACATTTGCTGCCAGCTATTCAATAATTGGTTGAATTTAAATTGTCCTATCATCTTTCAGCCCCTATTGTTTGTATAGTTCCGGAAACTGTAGAGTTTGCAACAGGACCTTCCTACGGAAGCTACAATTACCTCGATCTGATAACTTACTCTTGTAATACAGGATATGAAGTTCAATCTGGTGATGTCGAACGTTCATGTCAAGATGACAAAACATGGGGCGGAAGTCCTCCAGTTTGTGGTGTGTATTTGTTTTACAATTTCAATTTTAATGATGGATATTTTTTCGTTTCGTTTCATTAAATGAAAGTTTGTAAAAATGTAACGACTCTCCTAACATAAAACAATTTTGTTTGAACAAGGATAAAATCAGCAGTCAGTAAAACAAGAAAAATTCCTTCAGTACTTAATATATGGAAAGTTAACAGTCCTACAAATAATTAGGTTATTCGCGAAAACACACGTTTTAATCAATATGGCATGATAAAGTCTGGATGAGAATAAGTGTCAAAACCTTAATTTACACACAATGCTATGACACCAACATCGATATTACCAATATTTTCAAATCGATACAACAACAGCTTTGTGGTTGAATGTTATGTTTGCAACATCATGAGAAGAGTTTGCAAAATAATATAATTTGAAAAAAGGATTTACATATGCTATTATGGTGAATTTATTCGACCAAGTCAAATATTTGAATTGTCGAAAACACGTAGTTGTTATAAAACAATAGCGGTAAATACTTTAAACATAAAATACTAAAGTTGTTAACGAGTTCTAGGGATAAAGAAAAAGAAACAAAATAAACTGGAAACTACATATTGTAAGAAAATATATTCCAGCCATATCAAAAGGAAACTTGACTACATGGGATATTTTGTACTGTATGATCGATTATCATTACATATAGATGATGTTCTCTCATTAAATAATTCAAAATTTGATGACCATGTTGAACGCATCTATCCCATCGAACTAGAGATAAAGGATACAACAGATACAGTTAAGTCTGTCTCATATCTTGACTTACATCTAGAAACTGACACTGAGGGTCGGTTGAAAACAAAACTTTACGACAAAAGAGATGATTTTAGCTTCCCAATCGTGAACTTTACATTTATATGTAGCAACCTTCCCACAGCGCCTGCATACGGAGTATATATCTCCCAATTGATACGATATTCCGGGGCTTGTATTTCCTATCATAATGTCATTGATAGAGAGTTGCTGCTCACAAGGAAGCTATTAAACCAAGAGTTCCTAATAATGAAGTTGAAATCATCCCTTCGTAAATTTTACGGACGACATCACGAGCTATTTGACCGTTATGGAATATCGTTTCACAGTTGATAGCGGATATGTTCCTAATGTCGTAACTACAATCCCGTTCCCTTTTCACGAATGTGGCCTACCGATTTAGACTATTTACCGGGTTTGTACTAACATGAGCATAACGACGGGTGCCACATGTGGAGCAGGATCTGCTTACCCTTCCGGAGAACATGAGATCACATCCAGTTTTTGGTGGGGTTTGTGTTTCTTAGTCTTTAGTTTTCTATTTTGTGTTTTGTGTTTTGTGTACTATTGTGTGTCTGTTTGTTTGTCTTTTTCTTTTTTAGCCATGGCGTTGTCAGTTTATTTTCGATTTATGAGTTTGAATGTCCCTGTGGTATCTTTTGCCCCTCTTTTATTCTTGTAACACAGGATATGAAGTTCAATCTGGTAATCCCGAACGTTCATGTCAAGACGACAGAACATGGAATTCCTTTAGTTTGTGGTATGAATTTTCTTCATGACTTTTAGTAAACAATTGATTTCATTTCTGTTGATTTCATTCAATGTTAACTTGCAAAAGTATACCACGTACATAAACCTTAGCAAAATCCTTAGAATATGGAGAAAAGCTGCAGTCGGTGAGCAGAAACAAGGAAAGACATTCTTTCAATGCTTAGCGTGACAAATAAAATGAATACATATACAATTGTCGCCAATTATTCAATAATGATTTGAATTTAATATCTCTTTTTCTACCATCATATCAGTGCCAGTTAGTTGTCCAGGTCCAGGAAATGGACAGTTTACAGAAGAACAGACTTATTCCAGCTACAGTTTCTCTGAGACTATAACCTACTCTTGTATAAAAGGATATAAAATCCAATCTGGTGATCTAATACGTTCATGTCAAGCTGATGGAACATGGAGTGGAAGTTCTCCAGTGTGTAGTAAGTATGATCTTTGTTAATAAAGGGACGTGGGTTGCCGAGTGAACTAGTACTCAAACTACTGTATCACTAAATAAAGGCAACAGTAGTATACCGCTGTTCGAAATTCATAAATCGATTGAGAAAAAACAAATTCGAGTTACAAACTAAAACTGAGGGAAACACATCAAATATAAGAGGAGAACTACGACACAACAGGGACACAACATTAAAATGTAACACACACAGAAACGAACTATAATATAACAATGGCCATTTGGTACAGGACATTTTAAGAAAAAAATGGTGCGTTGAACCTGGTTTTGTGGCTAGCCAAACCTCGCACTTTTATGGCAATGTTAAATATAACACTAAAATGACATCATTACATGACATGAATACAGTACAACATTACTGAAAAAGAATTACGCAAATAAACAATACAATATATTACATTTGGACAACGAAACAACAGAAACACTGAAGTGAACAAACAACAAACGACAATGCAACACACACAGAAACAAACTATACGATGACAATTGCCATTTTCCTGACTTGGTACAGGACATTTTTAAGAAAAAAAAATGGTGGGTTGACTAGTTTGTTAACAATGAGGTTATGAGTTTGCATATGAATCCAGCATTTTGCTGATGCACTCGACTATTGATTGACTAGAATCTTTTGTTTTTCTGTCGAAGGTCGGGGTTCTCTCCAGGTATTCCGGCTTTCTACACCATTATCGATTGACCACCACTAAATATCACAATAGTGCTGAAAGTGGCGTTAAACACTTATTAATCAATCAATATGGAATAACATTATCGAATACATACATAGTATTTGCATTGAATATAGATAAACGACAACTTTCTTCAGGTGAAGTTAATTCAATTGAAAATTGAAATCAAATGCATACACGGTACATTTGATATTCAAACCGACTCAGGCTTAACAATATATCAATGCACGATCGAAACATAATAAAACAAGATTGTAAGAGGAATTAGTAAAATGAATGTGTCAAAATCATTACAGACCTCTATGTTGGAATATACTGCCTCAATGGTAACGTGGTAGCGTGTTCGCAAAATGCTGGAGGTCGTGAGTTCGATCCCCTGTCTGGTCAAACCAAAGACTTTCAAAGTGGTATTTGCTGCTTTTCCGCTTAGCAAACGACATTAAGAATTTAAAATCAAAGAATGTTATTTTCGTAAAAAAAATGTGTCCGGGTATGTTTAAAAGACTACAATATGGGCGATAAATTATTTCTATAAATTTGACACATATTGTCAGCAGATTCTGCATTCGTAAAAACAATAAATGACACGAAACATTTTTTTTTTTACAATTCAAATGATATTGCAATTCAAAGTTGACATCTCTTATGCGTCTGTAAGTTTTTCATTTTAAATTTACTGTTTCTTTAATAGTACTAGTTTTGTCTGGGATAATATTGTTTATTTATTTTATTAGGTGTAATTGGCTTTGAACAACCTTTCAGAAACTGCGAGTACTCTTATTCATGTTATTTCAGTACTTTGTGTCGATTGTTTTTATGTTTGTTGTTTTTGTGCCTCTTACCGATTTGTAAAATTGTTAAACATGCATCACCCCGCCACATATCTGCCTGTCCCACATCAGGAGCCGCAGGTTTTCGTTGGTTCATGTCTGTCATATTTATTTTCATAAGTTGTTTTGTTATAAAATAGGCCGTTATTTTTCTCAATTGAATTGTTTCGCCTATTGCATGTCGAGGCCTTTTATAGTCGACTATACGGTATGGGTTTTTTCATTGTTGAACCCCGTGTGGTTTCCTTTAATGGTTTACATCCACTTCATTTGATATTTGGTTGACGGGTGGCAATCACACCACAACACCTCACTTTTTTATTGATACTTTGATCAGATTTGCACTTTACATAATACATGTAATAGTTTAAAAGAGACAATTACGTTTTTTGATTTATGCTTATTTAGGTTGAAGCTAGGGTACATTTTGTAAATGTTGTTTTCTCGGATTAAAAAGATGTCTCGTCTTTGTCAGATTTATTTGTATACTGTTTAGAACTATTAAGTCAGTTGTGTTGTATATCTGTGATGTATTTTGACACAGTTTTGGCTGCTGGATCAAATTTTGCTGATTGATCCAGTTTAGCGCTTAATTTTGTGAGGTTTTATGAATTTCCTCCTTTTTTCAATTCTTTGGGAGTTCAGTATTTTTGTTAATTATCGTTTTCTATTAAGTTTTGCGAAAATATACAATAAATCAATATTTTTTTTCAGAAATGAGTTTAGAATACTTTTGTGCTACTCTTTTTGAATTATTTGAAAATGAAGATAGTTTGGAGATCGAATTGGACAATATTAGTTCTGAGGGAAGTTTTGAGAAGAACAAACGCAAAAAATACAAAGACAAAAAGAAGAAGAAGAAGAAAGGACGAAAAGAATACGGTTTCTTTAAAACACTCAAAGCTTTGATAACCAACAATTGCTTCCCGTCATAATCGCCAGAACCAGTAAATTCAAATAAAGTGTGCATGAAACTGACATTTACCAGTTTAACTGAATGTCAAATGAAAACAAAACTAATGAACAGTATCGACCTTAAAGACAGTACTCTTCAATGAAAACCATTTATGTAGTTTGATTTTTTTTATAATAATAACGTCTACATTCTTCTGCATTTTACTATAACTTTGGATGAATAAACATCGACAACTGCTGTTGTAGTCTATCTTATATAAGTTCATTGTTAAAAAGATGCTAACTTCTTGAATACGTTTCTGAAGTCCGCTTCATTTGAACTCTTTTTGGATAGTATATAAATGACACATAGCTGAGCAGGTGGTAGAGCAGATTGTTACCCCGAGAAAATGTTGTTAACTGACACGAAGCCAAAGTTGATAATGTCTTTTCGAGGGTTAACAATCTGCTCTCTCACCCTCTCAGATATGTGTTATTTGATTTATTATACTGAGTGTTCTGATGTTACTGTCAAATTCAAAGTAATAAACTATGACGTCTCGTACATAACAATCATTCGTATTCATTTAAGCGCACACTTGATCAAGTGTCTCCCTGAAGGGTGATAGAGTATTTGCCATGGGATAGAGTAAATTGTCTCCCTCGTATTAATCAATCTGGCATTTTGACGTGAAGTATAACAATAAATGTTGTATAATTGTCAACCAAACCGCATCTCATCATTTTCTATTTTTAGATAAAATATGTGTTTAAGTGTGTTGGTGTCTGAGTGTGACACGTTGAAGATACATTTATTGAAATAATAATGTTTTAACCGAAAAATCATCCAGCGAACGCAACAATTCAAAGTCATCCTAACACTTAAATGTCTACCTCTCAGAAAGGTTAGTTTTCTCCCCCTTGCAACAGTTTTGGAATTTGACTATACAATCCGATGAAGTCAATGTTTCCGCATCAAGGATGAGAAATATGTAAGGTTTCAATCGTTTCTCATGATAGTAATACTTGACAGTTTTGAATTTTACCATGTCTTTTTCAAATTCTGTACATCCCTTTTAAGTTTGTACATTTTTTCTTTTCAATAGATTATGCTATAATATTATCAATGTATCAAATGTAATTTTATCTGGGAAAGTCTTCAAAGCAAAACAGAAAAAGTTTTAGATCATACAAGTAACAAATCTATTACATACAGCAGATACAGTGGTGGACTGTTAGTCCCCGAGGGTATCACCAGCCCAGTAGCCTGTACTTCGGTACTGGCATGAAAATACGGATTTTTTATAAAAATTTGCTGTTACAAAATTATGTTATACCCAAACAACAAATAATATGGACTTTAAACTGTAGTTGTGTTAAAAATCATTTTATGATATGACAAGTCATGTTAATACTTTGACCACTATTCTTTATTTTTGGTGTAAGCGATTTAGGAAAAATTTTTGGAGTTCTATTGAATCTTTAAAAGTGTGTGTTTCCTTCTGGATGATATAATGCAGTGTGTGATCTACGTATTTCGTATATTTAAGATAGCTGACAGATACTATCGGACCCGAAATTCCTACCTTAAACAGAGTAAAAATATTATACAGATACATAGTGTGTCTTTCTATGTTGTGATGTTACACTATTGTTTCAGAAAAAGGGTGAAGGTTTGGTACCATTAAAACGTTTAAACCCGCTGTAATTGTTTGCACCTGTCCTAAGTCAGGAATCTGATGTTCAGTAGTTGTCGTTTGTTGATGTGGTTCATAAGTGTTTTTCGTTTCTCGTTTTTTATATAGATTAGACCGTTGGTTTTCCCGTTTGAATGGTTTTACGCTAGTAATTTTGGGGCCCTTTATAGCTTGCTGTTAGGTGTGAGCCAATGCTCCGTGTTGAAGACCGTACTTAGACCTCTAATGGTTTACTTTTATAAATTCTGACTTAGATGGAGAGTTGTCTCATTGGCACTCATACCACATCTTCTTATATCTACAATCACACTGTCAATAAAACATAAGCAACCGTGTCTGTCTTTTCTGATCTTTCGTCGGAATTTCACAAGTACATTGTGTATAAATATCAGTCCGAACTAGGAAACTGTTGATTTGGGATAAGAGTAAAACATTGTAATAGTGTGAAGCCTACCAAATACTAGTATATCAAAGGGGGTCTTATTGATGATAGTGGAATTAATGGTAGAATAGAACGTTCACGTAAAATATCAGACCGATAACGTCTAGTAAATGTTGTATGTATATAAGTAAATGGAATAAGGGATACTATATATATATAGTGAATTATGCCTTAAATCATGAGTTTTATAACGAAATTGACAATGAGGGTCGTTTGAATGTCAACTGTTTCAACTGACCATGTATCTGATTAATAGTAAATCTAATCGTCTCCAGTATTAGCAACTTTAAACGGTAATTGTACCTTTCAAACAGGAACAAAAGTATGAACAGTAAGGGGCGAATGTCGACTAGTTTGTATGGTTCAGCTACATAACAGATGGGTGCAGTCCTAACCTGTACAGTAAGTTTACTCGTTGACCAGTCATTTGGACTGATCAAAGTTAACCTGCGACAGGTTTTAGGACTGATTTGACCAGTAATATGACCACAATCAAGTTAACTTCAATGCAGACTTGGTCCTAGGACTGATTTTATGACTGCCGAAAAAAATAACTTTAGACAGATCCGCTATTGAAGTTAACTTTGAAACTAGTCCTGCAATAACTTCTATTTTGATAACTCCGATTGAACCAGACCTGATCTTAAGTAATTTTTGGCTGGTCTGCTCAACACTATGTTAACTTGTGACCAGAACCGCTGTAACCAAATAATAAAACAGTTGTAATTGTTTTCGTTTCTTGATACAAACAATACAGATTAAACGGATAAAACTTTGTTTGTAATACCCATTTATCCGTGATCTGCCTTTTAACAAAACGATATTGGTTAAACCAACGTATATTGTATATTTCATCAATATCAATTTATTTAAGTCGTTACATCTTATATAAAATGTTCAAGGTCTGAACTGTTTTAAAATGTAGCAGTCCGCGTAAGTTTAAAAACTTGGTTATCAGATAGCATTGATTAACAGCGCCGCCTTGCTATTCCAACACCCTTTTAGTCTGACACCCCAATAGTCTGACACCCCATTGCCCGACGCCCCAATAATTTGACACAGGTCGTAATTGTAAATCTACTTTAAAGAATCGGTAGACTTGCTACTATAACAAGTGTCTACTCTAATTCTGAGTATACAGAAATGAAAGAGACAGCACTTCCCTGTGTTCCCATCTTGTATATATTAAATACCACAATCCTAAAAATATAAGACATTTGACAACACTATTGTGCTTTACTAGTGAAAAGTATGACGCAGCTATTGAACAAAACAATATGTCAAATAAAAGAACTTTGATTTATTGGTTGTTTGCTTTACGGCAAGTGCAAATATGTTATGCTTGTTCGGGACGTGAATGAATAAATTAATAATTAATACATTAGTGAGTTACTGTAAAAGAGAGTATACTAAGGATAAAGGGCGCAAAAGTGGGACTGCAACTGGAAAATGAGGGTTGACTTGAAAGGACTGAAATTTAGCTTTGCAACAGGCAACCTATATGGACCCGTCAAAGAGTTGTTGCAAGGCTTCTAACAAAGGGTGTAGGACTTCCTCTACACGATACATTGAATTTAACTTGTCAATTCTGACCGGTCGTGGCTGCGTATTTATACATTCTGCAAACAAAACAGACGCATCAAATGGCAATGGTTTTATTGCCGGTCGGCAAACAGATAAAAAATGTATATATTTCTATACACCAGTCACCCCAAACAAATTGAAGAAAAAGTTCGTCGTCGTAAAGGAAAATGTCCAGACCGCTATATGCTTTTCGAGACGTTCAAACCTAAAAAGATTTCATTTACAACGGAAATAAACTTATTTTACCCAAGCATGTTGGTTTCCATTTATCTACACAAAGCTTGAATTTATAGATCTAAAACTTAAAACAAAAGTCCAAAATATCAATAATAAAATTGTACAATCATTATTTGGTTCTATATTGCATACTTTATTAAGATTGATAAACTCAATCAAAACGGATGGCATTTGCCGTCGTCATGGACTTATGGTGGATATTAACTATACATTCGTAACTAGATGGTAAGCAAACAAACACACTATCAATCATGTAAACATTGCTTGTAGTGTACTCTGAACGCAGTGACTAAGATTTATTTTAATTACGTGATCATTGATACTTAAACTCTGAAAACAAAATAATACTTTGTCGGAGTTCTGATCTTTCCAGCTGAACAAATAATTCATAATCCTTGAACAGCATTAGTCAACGCAATGTGTGAAAATAGTTCTGTTAAAACACAATAGGACAATAACAGAGGAATACATTTTTAACGTGCAGCTAATAACGGGCATATTATTCCCACTGTTAACGTGACGTCGTACTATACTTCACCAGACAAGCACGACACAACTGAAGCGATTGTACATAGAATTAATCTGGGCTTGAGTTATTTACCGAAAATCCAAAGAAATAGGACAAGGTAGCCAGAAAAATCCTAAATGGAAAGTCATGAAGGTATTCTATGCAGGCAAGGGAAACGATATTGTTTTACACTTAATTCTTCTTGGTTTCTTTTCATATTTCAGAACTTTTTTTTATCTTTTGATGTAGACATAGTTTTTTACATATGGGTATACTATCATAATAAATGTGTGGCTTTGAATTTTTACTTATACATAGCCGTTATGTTTTATATTGTGTAAAAATCATTAATGTTATGGCGAATAAGCCTGTCAGGGCCTAAAGTGTTTATGATGATTTATTGCATTGTGCATTTCAAAATAACGTTCATCTGAATTAACCTTGGTTTGTTACTTCCAAAATTACTATTAACATTTGTTTAATATTATTTGATTTTCTAAGTAGTTCTTTATGGCCCAAACGGTGTCTGTGGTATAAAATAAGGTCATCTATTGGTCTTTTTTCGACCGATAGTATAACACTTGGACCAGTAAGGCATTCGTTTGGCTATGCGGGATTTTAATATTCGCAGCTAAGACCGGTCAGCGTAAGGATTTAAGTACAGATGCCTCGTTGAAAGAGAGTGCCATACTCTCTTAACTTTAAGAACCCTTTACATCTTTAAGGATTCTGTAGGTGACCTTTTGTAAGGCTACATTTCTAACCCTATCTAGATTTTCATTCCCTACATA